TCTGAAAAAAATTTTACAAAAACTGAGTCGGGTCGAATGTGTTAAGTATAAGAAATACCATCAGAACAGATAAAATGGAATTCGATCATATAGCTTTTGTAGAACTTTTCACGACACATCTTTCGAAAAAAATTCAAGGTTTTATCATTTACCTAAGCCGAGATATATATGCGAAATAAAAAAATGTTACAACATTAGGGACACCCGGTTTTGGCAAATAATAAAATGTTCTTTTTCTTCTAATACACTTTTAATATTTTAAACTGCATTCGGTGTTCAACGTAAATATACTAAAATATGCAGCGTGTTCTGGGCTTTCTCCTTATATAAAGTAGGTCAAGAGATAAAAACGTATAGTAATTAAAAAGAAAAAAATCAAAGCGTATAATTTCAATTTTCTTCGACTGTATATATATATTGATATAATTATATCTTCTTCAGTTCTACTATCATGCCTGAACGCGTTACATCCTCTTTTCTAGTATATTCAGCTACATTTGTTTTCTTTCTCTTTATTCCTTTATCGATCATGTGTGCTCTCTCTCATATGCTCTAGTGAGTTCTGATCTCTTTATTACATTCTAGTGAATGCTTTCCCTTTCTACTATTTGAAATAATAACACATTGTATAAATGTGATCAGATAAGACTTTTCTCTTATTAATAACTGGTTAATGGTCGACTACCTTCACATAGTGAAGAAATAGCAAGTACATTTTTATTGGATCATCATTCAAATATCTCGACAATAAAAAGTGAGAAATTCTCAGAATGTCGTAGTAGTATTATGAAACCTGAAATCAGATGAATTATCCAGTGATTCATCATCTTCAATCAGTTGTTGGGTGCAGGTGTGGATGTCGATGTTTCTCTTCCCTCTACTGAAGCATGCACAGTCGGCAGCAGGCAGTCCACACCTATATTCAAGATTTTTAACCGGTGACAAAATACGCCTCGTTCAAAAGAGGTTTTTTAAAATATCATGGGTGTTGGTTTCATATTTCAAACAGATAAATGTTATGAAAAAGAGCTCTATCGATGGACGATGATGCATTGTTCTTTGTTCAACAAATTTGTGCTTCACTCTGTTTTTTTTGAACTATCATTATCATTAGATTAATTAATCATTTCCTTGATCTTTTATTTCATTTTCTGTATCATCTTTATTTTCTTACTAAATGAAAATATAGCTAACATTCTTCTGTTTTTATACAACAAGTAACAAGGAGTAGGATGAGTTTGTCAAAAATTAGTTCCTGAAAATGTTTCTTTATTGAGATGAGAAAAGAAAATTTCTATAAAAACATAATAATCATCTTTTTAGAGAAACTTGTTATTTGTGAAGGTCTCTCTAGTTTATGGCTCCAATCAATGAGCAAAATATGAACTCAAACGGAATGAATTAGTTGATGAAGTTCATTCATTAGTGTTTCCTTTCTGAATTATACCTGTTGTACTGATATTTCCCTATAGATCACTGTACACTAATAAGTCAAATGATGGTATTTTGCTCTCATACATGTTTCATAGTTATTAAAATATCATAAAGTTTCTAGTGAAAGCATGCATGTCTCTTGCAGGATAACAAGGAAAAATATTCATGATGTAATTAGAAGATTGTTGCAATACAACCCTACTGCCATTGTTTTGATTTCGAAATGATTCGAAATTTTTGTCATTATAGTATATTTGTAGCTGATAACATGTCATCGAAGAATTCGTAAGATAGAGATGATAGCAATTCTGATCATGTAGTAAGAGCCAGTCCGTAGTCCTTATGTAAATCGTATTATTTGCAATGTCTGTTGTTTCTCAGTTACTGTGTGGGTCTTCAAAGTGTCCTGTAGTAAATGACAGAAAGTGCATGATGAATAATCTGAGTAATGAATATCACAAGACTCGACAAGGTTCAAATAAAAAGCATTGGTACTCATCCAGATTTGGCTATCATCATCCCATAATATCGATAAGAATATGATCAAAATCATATGAATCTGATACAATCCACTAACGACTATTAAATCGGAATAACTGATCCATCTTTATTTCTTTGTTCTTCTGTTACCTAGTCGCAAAATGTCAACTCAACTTCAAATCAACGACCCAAAATCCAGTTGACTATAAGTCTGGTCCACGATCTGTCGCCATCGGTGACTTCAACAATGATACTTGGCCAGATATTGCTATTGCAAATTATGCTGCTGACCATATAGCTATATATTTTGGATATGGCAATAGAACTACCGCAAGACCAATCACGTATCCGACCGGTTTTGGTTCTGCTCCGTACATGGTCGCCGTTAACGATTTTAACAACGATGATCGACTGGATATTGCAGTCGCAAACTTTGGCACAAACAACATCGGTATACTTCTTGGCTTCGAAAATGGATCTTTTGCAAGCCAAAAAACCTTTTCAACTGCCTCCTCTCGTCCTATTTGGATCCACGTAACTGATCTTAACAATGACACAGCATTAGATATTATCACTGCTAACTATGGTACACACAGTATAAGTATATTTTATGGATATAGTAATGGAAGCTTCTCAAAACCAAGCACGTACTCTACAGGCTATGATTCTTTCCCGTTTGCGGTTGTCAGTGGTGATTTTAACAATGACCGACAGCTGGATCTTGCTGTCGCTAATTATGGCACAAACAATATTGGTATACTACTTGGAACTAGTAACAGTACTTTCGCAAATCAAATCACGCTTTCAACTGGTGCTAATTCCCATCCATACTCGATTGCTGTGGGTCATTTAAATGACGATAACACGCTAGATATTGCGGTCACCAACAATGGAAATAATAGTGTTGGCGTTTTTCTGGGCCACGGCAATGGAACTTTTATGAGCCAAACGACATATTCCCTCAACGCTACTTCTCCATATTCTATTGGCATTGGTGACTTCAATAAGGACAATCGGATGGATTTAGTCGTCACCAATAATGATACTGACAATATTGCTGTGCTTCTCGGATATGGCAACGGCACCTTGGTAAACCCGAAAATGTATTCAACTGGATCTTCTTCTTCGATCTACGTTGCCATAGGTGATTTCAACAGAGACGATCGTTTAGATATTTTCGTTATCAATAATGACACGAACAGCATAGATATCCTGCTTGGATATGACGAGGGCTTTCCAATTCAAACTAAATATCCAACTGGGTATCTACCGATATCTGTAGCTGTCGGTGACTTTAATAACGACACCATATTGGACATTGCCGTCGCCAATGATGGTGAGAACACTTTAAGTATACTTTTCGGATACAGCAATGGCTCTTTTGCAAGACAAGTGAACTATTCCACTGGCACTCGACCATATTGCGTAGCTGTTGGTGATTTTAATAACGACAGCCGACTGGATATCATTGTCACTAATCAGTGGAGCAACAATGTAAGTGTATTTCTCGGATATGGTAATGGCTCTTTTGAAAATCAAGCGACATATTCTACCGGTGTTAATCCGTATGGTTTAGCTGTTAGTGATTTGAACAACGACACGCGACTGGATATCGTCGTTGCTAATTGGGAGAACAACACTATAAGTGTACTTCTCGGTTATGGCAATGGCTCTTTTGCAAATCAAGCGACATATTCGGCTGGCATTACTCCATACCGTGTAGCTGTTGGTGATTTCAACAACGACACCCTATTGGACATTGTCGTCACTAATAGTAATAACAACACTGTAAGTGTACTTCTGGGATATGGCAATGGCTCTTTTGCAAATCGAGTAGCATATTCAACTGGTACTTATCCAGAATTTATAGTTGTGGCTGATTTTAACAATGATACCTATTTAGATATCGTCGTTACTAATTTTTATGGCAACACGATAAGTGTACTTCTCGGATATGGTAATGGCTCTTTTGCAATGCAAAAGACATATTCAACTGGCGACGGACCACAGGGTTTAGCTGTTGGCGATTTCAATAACGACACCCGACTAGATATCGTTGTAAGTAACTCTAGGAATAATACGATAGGTGTATTCCTCGGATATGGTAATGGTTCTTTTGCAAGTCAAAAGATATATTCAACCAGTGCTTATCCATACAGTTTAGCTGTTAATGATTTTAACAACGATAACCGACCAGATATCGTCGTCACTAATCTGAACGATAATACAGTGGGTGTTCTACTTCGTTATGATAGAGGAGCTATGAAAAATGAAACTACATTTACCCCCAGTACTGGTGCCTATTTGAGAAGCGTTGCCGTTTCTGATTTCAATAATGATAGTCTATTGGATATTGTCGTTGCTAATTATGGTAGTAATAACCTAGGTATCATTCTTGGATATGAGAATGGTACCTTTGGAAATGAAATGATATTCTCAACGGGATTAAAATCTCATCCTTACTCAATTGCAATTAATGACTTCAATAAAGACGGTCAAATGGATATTGCAGTGGCCAATCATGGTACTGAAAGTCTTAGTACATTTCTGGGAAAAGGAAACGGAACATTTGAAAGTCAAGCAAATTATAGCACTAGTTTCGATTTTGCTCCATTGGTTGTTGGTGTTGGTGATTTCAATAAAGATGGACAATCGGAAATTGTTGTTGCATATGATGATGCTGATAATTTGGATGTGTTTGTTATATATGACACCGGAGACTTTTCTCATCGAATGACATATTCAACTGATTTTTGGCCAACCTCTGTAGCTTTTGGCGATTTTAATAACGATACTCGACTGGATTTCGTTGTCACTACTGAGTATTACGAAAATGTAGCTGTATATCTTGGATATGGTAATGGCTCTTTTGAAAATCAAATGACATATCTAGCTGGCAATTATCCAACCTCTGTGGCTGTTGGTGATTTTAATAACGATGCCCGATCGGATCTTGTCATCACTAATTATTTGGACAATACTGTAAGTGTACTTCTTGGATATGGCAATGGCTCGTTTGCAACACAAAAAAAATTTTCAGCTGGCTCTTTCCCATGGTCTGTAGCTGTTGGTGACTTTAATAACGACGGTCGACTGGATGTCGTCGTCGCTAATTTGGATAGCAGCAATTCTGTAAGTCTATTCCTAGGACATGGCAATGGCTCTTTTGCAAGTCAAGTGAATTATTCAACTGATTCCCGGTCACACTCTGTAGCTGTTGGTGATTTTAATAACGATAGCCGACTGGATATTGTCGTCGCTAATTTTGATAACAAGTCTATAAGTTTATTTCTAGGGTACGGTAATGGTTCTTTTGCAAGACAAGTGAAATATTCCACTGGCACTAGACCAACATTTGTAGCTGTCAGTGATGTTAACAACGACACCAGACTGGATATCGTTGTCACTAATCGTGATAACAACAGTGTAAGTGTACTTCTCGGATATGGTAATGGCTCTTTTGCAAGTCAGACGATATATTCAACCGGTAATGCGCCACTCTTCGTAGCAGTTGGTGATTTAAATAATGATACTCGACTGGACATTTCTACCACTAATTATCGTGACAACACTGTAAGTGTACTTCTAGGATATGGCAATGGCTTTTTTGCAAATCAAATGACATATTCAATTGGCACTACTCCAGTGTATGTAGCTCTTGGTGATTTGAATAACGACGGCCGACTGGATATCATCTCCCCTAATTATCTTGGTAGCAGTGTAAGTGTACTACTAGGATATTCCAATCAAGCTTTTGTAAAACAAACGACGCTCATAACTGGTAGTGGATCTCGACCAATGTCATTCGCTACTGGCTATTTTAACAGTGATAATCAAATAGATATAGCAGTCGTGAATTCGGGTACTAACACCATGGGCATTTTTTTGGGATATGGCAATGGATCCTTCGCAAATCAAACGGTATTTTCAACTGGTTCTACTCCAGTGTCTATTGCTGTTGGCGATTTCAACAACGATACCATATTGGATATCGTCGTTGCTAATTCTGGCAATAACACTGTTGGAGTATTTCTTGGATACAGTAATGGTTCTTTCTCAACCCAAAAGACGTTTACGACGGGTTTTGCATCTTTACCTCGCATGGTGGCTGTTGGTGATTTTAACAACGACACTTTACTAGACGTTATCGTCGCTAATTATGGCACCAACAATGTAGGTGTGCTGCTTGGATATGGCAATGGCTCCTTCGCTGACGTAAAGGTTTTTTCGACCGATTATGGATCTCGTCCATTCTCGATTTCTGTTGATGATTTTAACAATGATGGAAAACTAGATTTCGCAGTCGCTAACAAAGATGCTGACAATTTGAAAATTTTCTTACAGACTTGTTAATGTTGCAACTCTTAACTTGCGTTGTTTTTTTCTTCTGTTCACTGTTTCTAACTTTTACTTAGTGCTACCAATATTTCTTGTAAGTTTTTCTTACTATTTGTCTCTTGATTTATATATTCATGTAAACTATGAATGAGCGTTGGGAAGTGAAACAAAATGTGATGCGTTCCCATCTTGCTTGAAAGTCCCATGAGATAGTTTTGACTTCATATCTATTTTATGTTAATTCGCGAAAATAGAATACTCAAATAGTTAGTGAGATAGGTATGAAATGAGATGTCTTTGAATAGCCACCATGATTTAGATTTATGCGGATGTTATGTACAGAAAAGAGTGATTAGCAATGCAATGAAATAAGCAATAAGAAGAACATCATTCATATACATATGAAACAAGAAAAAAAGTTTGTTTGTTTCTATTCAACAGAAAAAAACAAATCAATCTTGAAATGAAATGAGATAGAAAAAAAGAAGAGTAACTGTACGATAAATATGAAAATAAAAAAAAATACCATAATCCAGATTTTTTTCTCGCCTACGAGAATCATGAGATTACAAATGATTCTATACGATTTTGAAAAAACATCAGAATCAGAATATATTCTGTTATATGGCCACAGATGAAGTGTACTACAACTTAAGTCTCAGCGAGTAATTCGTCACTTGCACCAAATGTGTCTATTTAACTCGCTACCAGTGATCGACACCGGAAACAGACAAACTTACAAGGTATTCTCAATGGAACTCATCGTTCATCGCTTTCTTATTTATTGATTCAATCGAAGTTCTCTTAGAAAGTTTGATTAAAACGTAGATCTAAAGATTATAATTTCTAGGCAAAGTGCTCTTTCGTTCAGAAACGCTGGTACAAGTCGATCTATTGATGATTAATTTAGAATGCGGGTGTGATAAAGGTGCAACAGCGATGGAGATAGCTGTCAATGTTGTCCGTTCACGACCGCTCATCTCAAACTGCATGAAATAGACTCTCAAATATCTTCATCATACATTCACTATTACGTTTTAATAGTCTAAATATGCCTCTCTTCTTTACACGGATATGGTCTACTGGCTAGACGGAAAGCAAACATAGCATACGTAATTTATCAAAAGGTAAAAGAGATCCCAAACGAAAAAGATCAACTTGATCCATTATTAAAATGAATCGTAGCTCAGATAAGAGTATTCCTAATAAGTTATATGAAAAATACCAGTGGACTTGGTAGAATCGAGCGCACCTAACACATAAAAAGAATGACTTTAAGAAACATATGTATAAAACTTGAAAACTTGATTCAATTGAAAAGAAAAATTTCACTTTCAACATTCAACTATTTAAATTCAATTTCTATGTCCCTGTACATACGATAAGATTCAAATCTTTCTGTTTACTTCACATCTTGAAGTTGAAATTCAAAGTCAAACTTCATATTGACATTTAACTTTCAAGTTATCGTTGCCAATCAAATATTTCATGACATAAATCCTAATAAGGTCTCGTCTTATACACTCATATCTAAATTATTAGCGAATCCACAGTCATATGAACCTAGACGAAGAATTTTTTTCTCACAATTGAATATGCAGATGTTCTCACAAACACTGCAAGTTTATTTGATGTCGATGTTAGCTGTAAGAATGATATTTCACATAATCCACACGAATAGAAAGTATCTCACACTGAATACTCAGTGTGGACTCACTCAATACAATATATTCTTCATTGTTGTAACATTGATCGGATGAGGATGTAGATGTGGTTAATAGAAATAACGAGTGAGAAAGCCAGAAAATATTTGTAGAGAAAATTCAGCCCCAGTTTAAAGCTGAAAAACTAGCATTTGTTTCACCTATTATATGGGATTGTCTCATATCTAGAGGCAGCTCGAAGATTTCCTGGGTGGGGATGGAAGCTGAAAAATTTCTGGTACAGACTAAGCCTCTACAGCCACGCCAGGCCCGGTCACTTTCAATAACCAGTAAAGGATAGGGCCACTCTTTTCATCAAACAGTAAATGACTTAACATCAATGAAGTATTTCAAGTGTCTCAACGACATTCTGATGCTTTTTCCTTGGAGGGTGTGGGTATGATTGTGGGTGTGCGGGTGTGTGTGAGTGTGTAGGTGTACGTATGGATAGTTATACAGGAGTTATCCACATCCATATCTACATACCCACACCCACACCCACACTCACACTCACATTTTTCTTTGTGTTTACTTTAATATCTTTTAGGTTGGAAGATTCAGTTTGAAAAATCCAATACTTTCATCAGTTACTCCATTATGATCAGTATTGAAACAAAGTTTACCCAACAATGAAATAGTTAAAATAAAGCAGAGGAAACTGTTTGAAGTTATCCAAAACAGTTTCAAGATTTATTTCTAGTGATCAAATATACATTTGGAAAAGAACCGAAACAAAATCTGGTAGATGTCTGGTATTTTACTAAAGAACAATATTATTCTATCATTTTTGAACATTCCAACCCATTAAAAAATCATAAATAAAACCTTACACTGCTTATTTTTCTCCAACTTGACTCATAGAATTACATTTATAGACTGTTCTCTTAACAGATATGGTTTAAAAACTGAAACAATATGTTTAAAATCGAAATTATAGTTCATTTGTTGGAATATTTGTGTTATAATAGCTTTTGCATTATTATCATGATGAAATAAATGTGTTGTCGTTTATTGGCCTATGCTTCATGTATCAACTTGATCAGTCCCTAACCTTTTAACTATGGAAAGATATGAGCATGTAGGTTAGCAGGAATGAGTAATTTGGCTTCGTCTAGTAGTTTCTGCGTCTATCTCTACATCTATGACAACGAAGTGTATTCCGCTCATCGTTCGATGAATTGAGTAGATGGATCATCTCCTCACCCACATCCTTCAATGAAATATCTTCCAAAGACATTAATTTTTCGTAAGTAGATGTTTGAATGATTCTGTTTTACTTACTGATAGTCAATATATATTTATATACTAGAAAAATGATACGTGAACTTTGGACAATCTTTTTCTTGGAATGAAAAAACTGAATTTTTCCTGGTATTAGTGAAAAGTCGTAAAAATGTGGCTAAGCTAAGTAAGTTTTTGACTAATTGCATGGAGTTCAAGTCAGAACCAGCGATCAGTCGATGAAATGTCATACCACTGGGATATTGATTAACTTGTAGACATATATCACGAACACGACTATCTTGAGGAAGCTCTAACTGAATATATTGAGGAGCAAAACCACCAGAGTTAAATCCGAGACCAGTTGGTTGTCGATCGACAAGATAATTTCCTTGGTACATAGGCGAGCCATAACCTGTCGTGGTGTAATTAGAAGCAGTCACTTTGGCACATTTTGATAAAGGAATTACTGTAACAGAAAAATAAAATTATGAAAATTTAATATTTCGAAATGTTTCAATATGCAAAAAAAAGTACAAGACATGAGTGTTAATTAAATGTAATAGATAACAAGCATGAATTGTCTCACTTTTGAATTTAAATATAATAACTATCACTGTACAGATTATCTTTGAATTCTCTTTTGTAAAATTTTAGAAATTCTAAAACTCCAAAAAGAATCGAAAAGAGCTTTCCGATCATAATGAACTTTCTTTTTAGAAATTTGCTTGCTTTTCAGAAAGTTTCTGACTATGTGTCTGATCAGAGAAAGCATCCATATGACATTTTGAAGGATTCAGGTATTAAGGTAGTATCGAATTATAAATTACAAGGAAGAACTATTATAAAAGTCAGTAACTTTTCATAGAATAATATTAAAATATTGCTTACTAACCGTTCATTGTTGTGATCTGGGTGGTCGTTGATGTTGTTGTGGGCTTTGTAGTGACTGTCGTCATGTCGGTACTCATGCGAGTGATGGTTACTGCAGCTGGACCAGTCACGACAACCGAAAATGCTCCCGTCACCTCTGCTCTAAATGTCGTAATCACCAGAAAACAAGTGTAACTAGATCCAAAGTTAATTGCAAAGCCGAACTGTAGATTTGTATTCATGTCGTCATTCTGTGACCAGTAATTTAGAGACGGTTTAGTTGGATCGAAATTGATGATGTATAAATAGCCATAAGTATCAATAAGGCTATTGCTCTCAATAATATATCTTCCTGGGGTAACAACATCTATTTTTATGACATCATAATAGTAATTTCCAACTGAACCATTCAAACGAGAATATTTCGGATTATTGATTGTTAATGCACGCGAATAAATTGACGGAATTATACCTGGATATGCTGTTCGATTAGAAAAAAAAATTGTAAAAATGTTTAACTTTGATAGATTAGTAAAACCGATTTCTAACATTTGTCTATCGCAATGGAGCTGGAATCCATTCTATCGAACTGGATTAGACCAAAGTACGAAGTGGGTTCTTCACGATCAGCTTTTTCTCTATTTATCATTATAGTTTTTTTTCTTATAGCCAACGATTTTTTAGATCAGTTACGGATTTTGTACTGGTTTTCATGAAAAAGAATCATATGAAATAAAATTAAAAATTGAATAAACACTCGAAATGCGAAGAAAACATTCTTAGGATTTCCTACGTGAGAAAATATTAGTAGAGCGACTACAATGTCTTTTAACTATATGTGGGTTTTTGCTCTAATTATAAAAAAAGACAGTTAATATAGGAGAACGAGAGGAAAATACAGATATCTATTATTTGTTCTATTTTAATCTTCTCTCAGACTGATACCTTAACAAGAAAATAAGTGCAACAGTTTACCACCAAATAATATAAGATAATGTCGAAAAAAGTATCAAGGTGCCTTAGTGGAGATGAAAAGGCGTTCTGGTGCTATGAATTGCATCGCTCTACTTTTTCCTGTACTATTTTTCTTTTCATACTTATTCTCTTGACACTCTACTTTCTTTTATCAATTATGACTATGCTTATAAATCAATTTTTGTTTCATTTTATTTTTCTATTTGATCATCGATTGTCGTAATATAATGTCGGCATTCTTTTCGCTTTCGAAGAGTATTAAAACTTGCAATTATACATATCTCAATTTTCTCCAATATTGGAGTTACGTTCACTATGACTTCTCATCAGTCAGATCGAGACCTATGATAATACTTCGTCGCCGAATACTTTTAAATGTCTGCTTCTTCATCTTTTTGAAGGTTCTTAAAAAAATGGATGTTTATAAAATGTTCCAAGAAAAGTGCTTGCATTGTTCCGGAAATTTTTGTCTTGAAAGAAGGAGGTCAATTTTTTTTCTATATATACTTCAGTATCACACTCTTCGTAACTTCTAGTAGATTCTGGGAGATTTTCATGAATGTAGTGATTATCAGCATTTATTATGATCTAATATAATCCCTTTTTTCGTCCTTGATTTAATATCATAATGAAGTTTAGTAGACTAGAGTGAGTTCTTTTGATCTTCAGTGGATGATAATAAAGATTAGTGGCCTTTCTTAAATTTTAGTAAGTTCTAATGACTTTTGCTGCTGTTCAATGAATACATTCTAGAATTAGATGTACATTGCTACTGATTAACTGGATAATCACTTAACAGGAAGCTGAATAACTGAATAAGAGTTTTCTATCGATCAGCTAGTAGCAATTAACTCTGTAAACAGTTAAAGTAGGTAGCCAGTTAAACAGACATCAGTTTAACTAGTATTCGAACCTATATGATAGTTGATATACAGTTAACTTACTGATGCATACCCACATAGAACCTATCAAAAGTAACAAATTCAATTAGAATCCGTCAAAACTCGAGAATCTAGGATCGATTTCTTTCCTTTCCCTATGCCTATATTTATTCTCATCCTATAGTATAGTAGCCCAAGAACTGTAGGTTTCCATATTTATAATTCAGTTATAATATTTTTACTTGTTGTAGTCGTAATAACTGTTGTGGTTGGTGGTAATGTGGGTCCACTTCCTGTGCAATTATAGTAGAGTTGAATTTCTCGAATGTCAGTTGGAGTTAAATAAAGACGCTGTCCGATCTTAACATTTGGTTGAATTGGTTCAATTGTTGGTAAACCATTTTTAGAAAATTCATTACGTTCGTAGTGCATTAAGGATTCATAATCGTACAGTGGATTCTGAGTGTCAATTTGTGTATTATCCATCTTCTGAAAATTGCCTTCCATGCCTGAGAATGAGAAAGAAAACAATAAATTATTATTATCATTATGAACACAGGAGGTTTCCCATAAAAATATGAATTCTTACCAACTTGTATATTTTCCGCATAGATTCGTACATATGAATCACGATCGGGACGTGATTGTTCATGCCACAAACCTATTTTTATACAAAGAATAATATACAGTAAAAATTTCCATAGTGGACATTTTTTCACGAGCCTTCTTTCATAAATAACATCTCTATAGTGGAGGGTGTGGGTGTTCTGTTTTGTTCCTCTGGCACCTACACTCACATTACCTACACTCTAAGATTATTTTTAATATGTAAAAGTTTGGTATACAAAATGTTGTAGCATATTCAGAAAGACTATGACATAGATAAGAAAAGCGTTAGAAAATCTTAATTAGGTTGTTCTCCTTTTTAAGAAATTCATACTCATATTCAATGTTCCACTTATGATTGTTTAATAAATCATACATATGACTCAAGCAAATAAAGATTTCATCACGATTTCTATACAATTTAAATGTGAAACATCACAGAATCAATCCGTTGCTAAATGACAAGGCTTCATCATGTTCCCGACAACCTGTAGGGTAAATCAAATAATTGGATTCAAATGTCTTCATATATATTTTAGTATATTTTTACAACTGAGTTTTCCAGAAATTGTTGTATTCGATTAGATCCTACTAAGATATCGGATGGATGTGAGTTGTATAATATTCTCTTTTCATGTTTTATACTTCGACCTACAATTGAAAATTTTCTTCTATGAGAAGATTGTCACATAACAGAAGGTCCCTATTTTATAAATAAATTTTTCGAAAAGTGAGAATGGTATCTGGTGAATTTACACCATAATATTCACATCAACAATATAATTTTATTTGTTACATGCGAATTGAACGAAGCAAAGAGCAACACATTTTTTCCTGTAGAATGATTTACTGGTTGCTCGTTCATAAATGCCATTATTATATACTGACCGTAAATCAATCTCATCGTCACCCACACCCACATATGTCTAATTTAAATATGTTGGCACTAAAAAGTTTATCAATTGATGATATAGAAAACTTTCGTTTAGCCTCGAAGGAAAATAAAATTATTGAAGTACATCTTGCACAGATGATTGAGTTCAAGCAAGCTCAATTTTTAAATTGATCTTTGTCGTTGTATGCAATATTTTACAGTAGAATGTTTGAAAAGTGTAAATATTGAAATGCTTGTTCAAATTCGTTTTAATGAACCATTGTACAAACTCTTCTTATCTTTGTATCTTATGTCTTTATGGTTCAATTTGAAAGTTTGAGATAATCGAAAATTTAAAAATAATGATCAATCAAGAATCATAACTACATGATTATACAATGACATATTTGTATAAAAAAATCTATTTAGAACGAAAAAAAAATGATCTTGAATGAAGTTGGAAATGATACATATTTAATAAATATTATAAATATGAATGACTTTTTTTAAATATTTTATAAAATATTTATTTTACAAAAGAATCGATCAGACAAACTGATAATGTTGGTAAATTGAGGTTGTTCAAATGATATGCATTTGAAGAGGATATAAATGTGTTGTTGTGAATCAATGGCAATATACATGTATTTCTAACTACATTCGAATAGGCTTCGTCTTGTTTTCAACCTTTCATTATGCATTGAAGAAACGTCATCTATTAGATTTTATTAGGATATGAATGCAGATCTTATCTTCATCTTCACTAGAATAAATATGCATAATTTACAATAATTTTTGTGTCAACTATTTCACGTTGATTTTATAGAGTGCTATTTGAAATATTTGTTCGATACTCAAAAAAAACAAGAGTTCATAAAATTTTTTTGGAACATATTGTTAACAAAGTTTTTCAGCGTGGTTTTGAATAAATGTCTTAAAGTTTTCCAAACAATATTTTGACCTATAAATAGTGAAACAACATTATTCAGAAAATTTTTGAATATTGCCCATGTATGAGATTTTATTCTTAACTATTTCTACAGTAAGAAATTGCAAAAAATGGAAAACAAAAAAGGTAAATGTAATGAAGGCTTATAAAATCAAACAAACGAAAGTCTATTAGACATTTTAAATCAATTAAAAACGTTAAGTATTTATCTGAATTGTGTCTGTCGAAGATTCATTTTTCAAGTATTTTCTTTTCTTATTTTAACAAAATTAGTCTGTAATGGTTCTGTGTGACAGGGTGGGGTGTGGGTGGGTGTGGGTGTGGGTGTGGGTGGGTGGGGTGTGGGTGGGTGGGGTGTGGGTGTGGGTGTGGGTGGGTGTGGGTGTGGGTGTGAATCTTCATCTCTACCACATTCACCCACACCCACACCCACCCTTATTCTACTGATTGAAACTCTCAGAACTTATGCGCCAATGGGATAGAATAGCTAGATTGGATTAGTCAGATTTTTATTTTTAGTTTAGTGGACAATCAAGATTAGTGCAAAACTGCCTTACACCAATAGACATGTCAGGAAAACTGTGCGTCTTTTACAGATCGTCTCTATTGAAAATTAATGATAAATCGTCAATATTAGATTTTATAGGCAATTCTCACAAATGAATATTTTAATAAATATTCTTAATCATTGATTCGTTTAACGTTCGATAAACTGTTTTTGTTTAAATACTGATCTATCACATATATGTACCCATGTAAGTACGAAACGCAAAATCGATGTGTTGAAACGCGGTTTCATAATAAAACGCGTCTGGACGCAGCTTTTGTATACAACGTGTTGAAATGCAATCGTGAAAAAAACATTGACAGCCTCCCAGCGCGTTTCATATTGAAATCGCGTTTATACGGGTTCAATAAGAATTTGACTGAACGCGTTCAAACGCAGTATAATATGAGACGCATTGACATGCGTTTAGAAAAAATTTTGAAACGTGTCTGGACGCAGTTTTTCTATACAACGTGTTTAAACGCAATCAGAAAAAAAATTAACCCCATCTCACATATTATTTCAGCCGCGTTGGGACGCAATCATATTTCTGAGCGTGTTTGTGCGCGTTTATTTCTTGTGTATCGGACGCGATTTTATTCCAAAAATTGCTGCTCTAGAAGAGTTAACTGCATGATCAAAATCATCGGTTTACATATATTTTATTCATCTAAGCTTCATTAGACTTTTAATAAAGAATGTCTAGATGACGTTAAAATAGACAAAAAATTCAATTAAACATACCGCAAATAATCCATATTTCTTTAAGGTTTGTATGAAAAATAATTAGACAATATTGTAATCGTTTGCAGCTACCCAATGCCCTTTCAGTAAACTGCTAAATACTACTATATAAATAATATTATTAATAACTTTTCATCATATATTTCTACTAAATATATTGTATGAATAATTATCTATTCATTAAATTCTTTGATAAAATTATTTATCCTGTTATCAGTGCAATAAAAAACATTGCAATATTAATTATGTGTAGTAGACAATAAAAAAAAGATATTATTTTATTAAAAAATAATAAAATTATTAAAAAAAAATAACTGAAAAATCATGTTACGTGTTAAATATCTTAACTTCGAAAAACGTACATCTTACTGAAATAAAGTATTTAACCGATGAAATTCATATTCAAGGGTGTGGGTGTGTGGGTGTGAGTGTGGGGGTGTGGATGTGGGTGTAGGTGTCGATGTGGGTGTGGGTGTAATTGAAACATTATTTTAGAATAGGGGTGACCCTTTATCTTTACTTTCCTTTATAATAAAGCATAAAGATAAATGAATCCTTTATCTTTATTTTCTAAAGATAAATGATCCTTTATTTTTAAAACATAAATGATACCCTTTTTTTTCCAATCATTTATCTTTATAAAATAAA